AAATAAACTGAATTGAATTGAAAGTTTACGTAAAGCCATCTTACGTGCTCATGCCCATTTTCACTTACTGATGGTGTGTCTGACATAAAAAAAAAGTGGAAGAAAGTGGAAAAAAGTGGAAAAATTATATTGCAAAATCTTCTTTTGGAACGTAAGCTTGTATGAGCGATGCGAACAGTAACTTTTAAACAGAGCGTGCACAATGAGAAATCAGCTCGTGCAGACTCAGAGTTTTGCATGTGCATATTTTTATTAAAGTTGAGACGGCAGAGGTGATTTTTTTAATTCGCAGAATCCTCCACTATACCTTTAATACAAGACAGGGAAATAGAGCCTGCAGGATGTTATTGGTCTGTTTTGCTAAAATTCAGTGTAATATAGGTTTGATCATTACCTGACTCATTAGTGTAGTCAGAGTGATGAGGCAGACAGTCCTGGACAGAACCTATGTTGAACAGAGCAGATTGATCATATTAGGGGATGGTTGTTGAACCTCTGATCCCAAACTGAGCTTATCCAGTTCATAAAGGTGATCCATCAGAGGATCAGAATGAAAAATGGTCAGAAGTTCTATAAAACTGGATCTAGAGACTGTCATGTTTGGCTTCAGGTGCCTAACCCACATGCAGAACACTCCGAGACAGGATAAAAGTTCAAAGGTTTATTTAGAAGATGGAATACAATAAATAAACAGATCCCAAGGGTAACTTGTCTGGTCACAAGTGGGTTTTGAAATGCACACAGAGTTAACAGGTCCAGGACTGGTCACGAGTGGGTTCACTGCAGAGGGGGACAGAGGAGTTAGTGGAGGTCCAGGTAATTTGCAGGATGAGAGTGTGCAGGGCTGTTCCTGTACAGGAGTTGAGCTGAGCGGCTGAGGGGGGAACCTTGAGGGTCCAGAGGCTGTCGGCAGGCTGAGGGCTAGGCAGAGGCAGAGCTTGGTTTGAGTGTTGGCGGATTACGGATTAGAGTTTCCCTTCTGGTTTCTTCAGAGAGCGGGCAGGCAGGTCTTTGACAGGAATAGTTTTCCAGGGTTGTTCAGAGAACAGACAGGCAGATTACCGGCAGAGATACTCTTCTGGGTTTCAGGTTTCAGACAGGTTCAATCTAGGAAGCAGAGAGAAGAAAACAGATCAGGTTCAGGTTCTGGTTTTCAGGGAGTCAGAGATTCAGACAGGCAGGTTGGCTCAGGCTTGCTAACTGAAACTGGCAAACACTCTGGCACAGGAGAGAAGTCCTCTGCCTCCTTAAATACAGATCTCCTGATGAGCAGATGAGCGACAGGTGGTTGCAATCAGCTCCGGCTCTAGGAGATCTAGTACGCCCTCTAGTGGAGAAAGTGGACAGACCTCCAGATCCCAACAGAGACAGTAATGTCATGGGTTCTAATAGGGATGACTACAGTACTACTAATGGGTTCTACAGTCCAAGTGTTAAGCGTTCTGGTTGTGATAACATTGAGCAGAGAAGTGTAGTCAGTATGTGATGAGGCAGTGCACAGACAGTGCTCCAACTACACTCCTGTTAACCTGGATCCTCTGGTTTTACACTTTCCTTGAATCAATCTAATGATGGAGATAAAATGACTCATTATTTTCTGCAGAGATGAGAAAAGGAGATTTGAAGCAGAAATTTGAGGCTGCTGAAATTCTATTCATTTCTGTGCTCTCAGTACCAGGTCTGAAGAGGGTGCTCACTGTTGTCCATAATCTTCCTCTTTGTGAAATCATCTCCCGAGGTTCCAGAGGAGTTCCTAGAACAGAGCCGACCTTCTTTATCAGCTTGTTAACGCTAGAAATCCCACAGATAATAGAATTTTCGTCAGCCTCCAGTCCCCCTGCAGTACTCATCAACTCATGAATCCCTTTTCAGATGTAACTGCCCCATTAGCGCTGTGGCTGGAGAACCTCTCCACCCCGTTCAGTTTCGGTTTTAGCTGAAGTCTCTCTCTTTGAGACTGTTTTACCTGAGAGCAGGAGGGGAAAAAAATCATATTTGTAATTAAATATAACTAGGTCTACGTCATCAGTGTCGCCAACAGCGCAATGATTTCAGTGGAGCCACCAGCGCAGCGATCAGATGATAACTGATCTGTACAATGAAAATAGCTGTATGAGCTGGAACGCTGTAGAAAGCAAAAATATTTATTTAATAATGACCATTATTTATTTAGGGGGAAATATAACTCAAGGCTTTTACCGATTAATAACTCGTTGGCAGATTATTTATTCTACAAAACAGACACTAGAGCAAGGCAGACAGTGAGCTACAACTGTAGTTTCCTAAAAGCGAGTCTCCTATCGTGCTAGGAGAACTACATTGGATCCTATGGGGAGCTCAATGCTCCAGAAATGCGCAGGAGAAGTGAACTCTGCAAGAGGTTAAAAATAATCAGAGAGAAATATTTAAAAGCGTCACCAAGGAGAGGTGGATTATTATCACATGTATTGGATTAGAAAATAATACTTTTCTGAGGAATTTCCAAAAGCCTAAATGACAAATGGCACCTCTATTTTATTATTAGAATAAATATAAAATGAGTAATGACTATACTATTGATCATTGTAGTGCCTCCAAACTTGTAGGATACACAGATAACCTCATCTAGTTCACACTACAACTCTTACTTTGGGAAGATAGGCCAAACTTTATTTTTGGAGATTTTTTATTTGTTATTATAAGCATATAATAGCTAATATTTACACTATAAATCATTGTAGTGCCTCCAAACACAGATAACCTCATCTAGTTCACATTACAACTCTTACTTTGGGAAAATGTGTTAAACTCTATATTTTTAGATTTTTCATTGTTATTATAAGAATAAAAAAGCCAATAATTACTTATGACTTAGACAGATTTATTTTTCATTTTGTGTACACAAGTGTAAACAAAAAGAAATTTTGTTTAGAACAATTTCATATTTTAAATTGCAGCTTCGAAAACAATAATACATAAAAAAATAGTTATATAAACATATGACTGTATATTTACAGCTTTAACATAAAACTGTAGGCCAAACTGTATTTTTGGAGATTTATTCATTGTTATTATAAGCATATAATAGCCAATAATTACACTATAGATCATTGTAGTGGCACAAAACTTGTAGCACACATAGATAACCTCATCTAGTTCATACTGCAACTCTTACTTTGGGAAAATGTGCTAAACTCTATTTTTAAAGATTTTTTCATTGTTATTATAAGGAGGCCAGGTGTGTAATCTCCGCAAAAGGAACCACAGCACTGAGCATTGTGTGCACTGCATAAAGTATACCTGTCACAAATGCAGGAAGGACTAACTTTGGGTTTGTAAAGACTGCTAGATGAGACAATTGTAGCTTCATATGTAGTGCTTTTACTTGGGTGAAATAAATGTTACTGCTATACTGAAATCATACTCTTTGTCATTCCCTAAGCTGAAATGTTGTATGACATGAAAAGGCGAGAACAGACAAAACACAGTTATTCTCTAAGTTTCTTTCACATAGAGAGCTTTGCAAATTAAATGAGTCTGCTGGTGAATGGACAATATAAATAGGCTCTGCCTTGCCTTGTTGGAAAAGCATGGTTACGACCTGTTCTCAACTCAGGAACTAGGACCCAAATCATATCTGGTTGTTCAATAGGTTTGCCTAAAAAAAAGATTTAGATATGACTTATCAAGCTATTCCTGCAAAAAGGTCTGATGTTGTAGGGGAAGGTAATGAAAAGTGTTTGGAGCATGCTCTTGTTCTGATGCCAGTTTGTTTCAGCATTATCCAGTCTCCTGTAGAAGGGCTGGTCATGTCCCAGGTAATTTGCCTTACAAAAAGGACAGTTTGCAAGGTAGAGTGAATACACAAACTTGAAGAGGGGAGGGGGGCTTGCAGGAAAACTGGAATTCTCTGAAACATCTAGTGTTAAGCTTTTTTAACTCATTTGCTCGGATACTGCATCCCATTTAGTCCACATATTGACATGGCTCGTATCGTCTTTTTTAGGTGAACGGATCAGAACCCGGCCGTTCAGACATTAAATAAGATCAGATTTGTGTTACATTAGCCTGCTTTTTGTGAAGTCTATTAAAGGCTCTCTGTGTCTACACCTTGGAGCTTTTTCTCTCCGGTTCTTTTCCATGACAAGAGATCACTTGGGACAAACACGTAAATAACACTTCATAACTTATATGTATTGAATAAAACTGAGACATGACAACAGATTTTGATAGAAATTGTAATCTTACTCAAATCAGAGAAGTTGTCTAGAATTACAGAAGACAGCTGCACACCGGGCCCACCTCTCAGAGGGTGGCCCTGTTTAACAGTTAAGGAGGCATTTTATATATCTCTAGTTTGACACATTATCACATCATTACATCACACACAATAGCAGATGAGGAGACATCCATTGCTCCAACCTTATCAAAATATTACAATTTGTTCTTAGCTGAAGGACACCATTCTCATTCCATTCTCAAATCTTTACCACATATAGAATGAAGATTAAAACTGTATATCTGGACAGAGGAAATGTCTTAATTAGATAAACTGTTGTGGAAAGCATCAATTCTAACTGGAACTGTTCTAACTTCTCACTGGAACAGCAAGCTAATATTGAGGAGTAATGAACTCAGAAATCATTACTGATAAATATCCTACCAAGTGCAATACATCCAATGTTGGGATGTGTTAAAAGACTCCTCCTAAAAGAGTCTTCTGAACTTTTTGTCATCTATTTCTTCTTGCAGTTGATTCTGCTTGTGTTTTTCTGGTTGTGGATTGTGTTGCAGCTCTCCTCTTTGTCCAACACAGACTTCTCATGGAAGAGACTAATAAACACACCTTAACATGGACCTTCACACGTCATTAAAAATGTTTTGGTTCTGCTTGGTTTACTACTTTAAGTTTTTCTGAGACTTTAGCTTTCAGTCACATTATTGTCACAAATCTTTATTCATTATTTTAGTTTTAAACTGTCTCTCCAGTTGCTTCATCACGTCTTTTATTGTTTGTTCAGATTGAGGAACTGCAGTTTGTCGGAGATTAGCTGTGCTTCTCTGGTCTCAGCTCTAAAGTCCAACCCCTCCCATCTAACAGAACTGGACCTAAGCAACAACACCACCCTGAAAGATAGCGGAGTGAAGCAGCTCTGTGGTTTTCTCCAGTCTCCCCTTTGCAAACTACAGACATTGAGGTCAGTCACCATCATTTACTTTAGTGCTGATATTTGTGATGGTAACATTGCATTTACACTAAACTGCAGACATATGGCTGATATTCTACTGATCCACACTGAGTATCTTCAAGCTAAAATCAGATTTCTTCTTCACTGCTTCGACCCAGTTAGTTTATTTCTTTTTCAAACTTCCTCCCAAGCTGTCTGTCTGTCTGTCTGATTACAGCACACTAGTTCCATTTATTAATCCTTGAGGAGAACAGATGCAGTTTTTTCTAATGTTCTGTCTGTTCTGGTCAGACAAAGGATTTCACTACCTAACAATCAAACATCTGGGAGGGATTTACATGAAACTAGGAAAAAAAACACAGTCTGGAGCAATAAGAGGGATGATAAATAAACTTGAATCTAAATGAGTCTGGTTTCCTTACAAAAAACACCTGAACCTGGAATACAGCTTTTCATTAGTCTCATTGGCTCTGGTTCTTCTTCCCTTCCTTCATTCTGGTTCTGATGAGGTCAGAATATTGTCAACCCTGTTGTGATTTTAAGTTCAATGCCTATCCAGGTTGGATGCCATATTTATGTTGTGAATAACTGTTATATTCAGTTCCCAGCTAGCTGGTACTTTATATTTCTGATAGTTTACGATGTGTATAGCCTTCTCCGGCAGGTGTGGTAAATATCTTATTTAATCAGATATTATTTCGGCTGTTATATATTGTTAATGAACACATGCCTACTAGCTGTTTTTTAGGACAATAAATGAAAGAGTAATTTGAGGTTAAATCATGGTCAAAGAGTTAATTCTGCACATACATGGAATAAATTCACCACAACTTCTGTTCAAACTATACAAGTTTCTTAACAAAAATCATTCAGCTCCAAATCAAACATATTTAAGTTTAAAACTTTTAACTAAAATTAGTGAAACTCAACTAAACTAAAGTTTAGTTTGAAAACCAAATCAAATTAGCTTTTCAATAATTTAGAGAAAAGGGAATGTTTTCAGAGCAATTCACAATGCAAATCCATGTGGTGAATAAAACATTATTTGGCGAAATAATCTTATTAAATAATAATTATTTATTAAATAATTTCCTTAATCAGGAACCAATAACCTTTAGTTAAAGGATTCTTTACCCTCTTTGAAATAGCTAGCAGCAAATAGAAAGATGATTCCATTAGATGAGTCTTGGTCATAATTGGTAACCAAAATGTAAAGAGCATATGAGGACCACATGGACACTAATGTCATGTCAGTGTTTAAACCCTTAGTGAAACAAAGCTTTTCCAAGCTTCAACAACAGCTGAAAGCATATTATTGTAGCATATCATGCGGTCCATGCTGTTAGCTTTGTCTTTATTCATCACTAAACACATGAACTGATCAAAATCATCAAAAGACATTGTGCCAGACCTGCAAACCTTTTGTCCATGTCGATTTGGAAGGCTTGAGTTTTCATCCAGTAGTGAATCACAGAGGCTCACAAGATCCAGGGGTTCTCCATTCTGCCTCTCTAAGTTCTGAAACTCAAGAGAAAAGTCTGTTTTTCTGCAGTCTGGTTCTGAAAGGTCAACCATGGTGACTTATCCTTGATCACTGTAGAGATCTGGATGTTTGCCAGGATCTCCATTTTGGTGGAGCCCCTCCGACATGGACTCTCAGAAAGCTTCATGAGAAAGAAAACTTAAATCCAGTGTTTTGTATGGTTTCAATGTCCTTAACACAGAGGGGGGATGGCAAATCACACCTCTGTGGGAGTTTCTGTAGAGGCAGTTGACTTAAGGGGGGGTGCAGAGATATTACAGTTGCTTGTAAAATTGTGTCTTCTTCTCTGATCATCATGTCAAAAGGAAATATGAATACTGGTTCCCAATGTCCAAAAACCATGATCATGGCATATGGCACAACAACTCCCATTGCTTAGCTTAGCCATCAGTCATTCAGGTGGAGATGGGTATGGGTTTCTATGGAAACTAAAGAGGTCCAGATCCAGTGCCAGACAGACCGCTACAGAAGATCATTCCTGATCATTTCCTGCCAACACCTACAACAACTGGTTAGAAATGAAATCTTATGAGTTACTGCAACTCATATCCCTTCAGGATTAATAAAGTTTTTGATGAATTGAACTGCGCTCAAAAAAAAAAAAAAAGATATGGTGCTGGAGCCAGGAATAAAGCTCAAGAGATGCCACTGTTTTACTTGTTAAAGTCAATTTTAACACTAGAAGCCCCAGAGATATGAGAATTTTCATCAGCCTCCAGTCCCCCCAACAGTACTTCACAACTCATGAATCCTTTTTAAATAAGTAAATGCCCCATTAGCGCTGTGGTTGGAGAACCATTTCATCCCCTTCAGTTTTGGTTTTAGCTAAAGTCTATCTTTCCCCCCTGCTCTCTTTACCTGGGAGAAGGTGGGGGAAAAAATCATATTTGTGATGAAATGTAACTAGGTCTATGTCATCAGCCCAGCATCAAACGATAACTGATCTGTACAATGAAAATAGCTGCATGAGCTGGAATGCTGTAGAGAGGGAAAGCAAGGATATTTATACAGTAATGAACATCTGATGACCATCTGATAAAATAATGACAAATTTACTAGGGGGCAAATATAACTCAAGCGATCTCTCCTCTCTCCTTTGCTGCAGCCCTGCAGGCAGCATCGTGAGACTGCAGTAAAGTTGGCAATATATTTATAGATTCGTCTTTTTCAGATTAATAACTCATTGGTGGATGATTTATTCTACAAAACGGACACCTCTCCGGAACCACGGCAAGGCAGACAGCGAGCTACAACCATAGTTTCCTCAAAAAGTATCTGGTATTACACTGGGAGAATTAGACTGGTCAAAATGCAGAGCTCGCTCCTTCGCAAATGCTTGGGGACCATCTGCCAGCTGCAAAATAATTAGAGCAAAATATTCAAAAGCGTCACAAAGGAGCGGTGGATTATTGTCAAATTCATTTCAGGTGTATCTCATCTCATGTCTTTCATATCACATTTGTTGGATTCGAAAATAATAACTTTTTTGAGAAAATTTCCCAAATCCTAAATGACTATCGGCACCTCTATTTTATCATTAGAATAGTATTAAATGAGCAATGACTACTGTCATGTTTGGATTGATGTGTTTGGGCCACATGCAGAATACACTTGGAAACAGGCAGATCTTTTAAGAGATTTATTGAGTGCTTTAACGAGGGGGAATCTGCTTCAGCAGACCGGAGCACAGCACAAGGAACCGGAGCCTTGGTACGTCTAAGAGAGTGAGGGGGCGGTTAACCACGGACAGAGCAGAGAGGAATGTGCAGCTGGACGAAAGCTTACCTAAGAGCGGGGAAAGCCGAACTGGGGAGGAAGCGGATTGGACTCAGTGCTTGCCTGAAGAAGGTGATGCCGATTGTCCAGGTGACCAGAGAGCGGAAGCCGGAGAGGGTCCTAACAGCACTGGGAAAATCCAGGAATACAGAACAGCGGAAGGAAACAGCTGGATGCCCGTGAGGGAGATGGGTCCAGAGGCGGGAACCGACTCGGAAGGAACTGGGGGAAACACACAGAGGAATCCACAAGGTGAGGGATCACGAGAACTCGAGAGGATGGATCTGAACATGAGGAGGTAACTGGGAGACAAAAAGGTAAGATTTAATACTCAAAGAGCTGACCAAGGCTAGAGACCGTGGTAGGTTAGCATACCACTACGGTAACACTCAGGCGTCCTCCTGCTGTCTGAGTGCAGTTCTTATAGAGTGCCCCGGTGCTGCAAAACCACCTGCAGATGTGCATGCTCCACTCACCAGTCAACCTGGAACACCTGTGGAGAAGGCAGAGTCCTGACAACTACACTATAGATCATTGTAGTGCCTCCAAACTTGTAGGATACATAGATAACTTCATCTGGATCATACTACAATGCTTACTTTCGGAAGATAGGCCAAACTGTATTTTTGGAGATTTTTGTATTGTTATTATAAGCAAATAGCCAATAAGTACACTATAAATCATTGTATTACCTCCAAACTTGTAGGATACATAGAAAACTTAATCTGGTTCATACTACAACTCTTACGTTCAGAATATGTGCTAAAGTCTATTTTTGAGATTTTTTCATTCTTATTATTAGCAGGTAAGGTGTGCAATATCTGTAACAGGAACCCCAGCACAGAGCGTTGTGTGCACTGTATACCTGTCACAAATCCAGGAAGGACTCACCTTGGGTTTGTGAAAACTGCTAAATTGAACAGTGTAGCTTCATATGTAGTGCTTTTCCTTGTGATAAATAACTGCCACTGCTATACTAAAATCATACTCTGACATTTTCTAAGCTGAAATGTTGAATGACATGAAAAGGAGAGACAAGACAAAATTAAATTATTCTCTGAGTTGTTCTTTCTTTCAAAAGTGAGCTTTGCAATGTAAACAAGTCATTTGGTGAATGGACAATATAAATATGCTCTGCCTTGCCTTTTTGGAAAAGCATGGTTATGACCTTTTCTCAGCTCAGGAACTAGGACCCGTATGATATCTGGTTGTTCAATAGATTTAGAGATGACTTATTAATATATTCCTGCAAAAAGGTCTGCTCTCCATTTTGTTTCAGCCTTTATCCAGTCTCATGTAGAAGAGCTGGTCATAGCACAGGTTATTCGGATTACAACAGGGACCGTTAGCAAGGTGAAGTGAATACACAAACTGTCATGATGCTTTTAAGTGATCTGACCCACATTCAGGGGCCATAGGAAACTGGATTGAGGCCATGAATACAGAAACCAGAAGGTGTGGGTTTATTCAGAAGAAGGGCAACTCATTGGAGGACAGACAGGTTGGTTTTGGTTGGACCCTGAGGAGCAATTGAGTGGACTGCCAATTGGATTTGAACGAGTGTGTGGAGGTTTTTCCCCTGCTCAGTTTGAACACAAAGGATCGTTCCAGGGGGAGAAGGCCAAACATCTAGATTATAGGAAGGCTCCCTGCAGAAAGGCAAAGACAAAAAAAAAACAATGTTAAAACTCAGTGAAACAATGGCTCAGGTTAGACTCAGCTGATCTCAGCTTGGCTAGAGTACCCAAACCTGGCAAACACTCTGGCGTCGAGGTAGTGGCAGTCAACGGCTCAAATACTCCTCAATGATGAACCAACGAACCAACAGGTGTGCAGGGGGGCCAATAAGTACAGGGCACCACCTGGTGGTGGAGGGAGAGACAAACACAAAAAACAACCCACACAAACTGGATTCCTAACAGTACCCCCCTCAACAACCACCACCCCGGATGGGTCCAAAATAAAGGATCCAGGGATTCAGGAGCGGTCCTCGGGACTATTTACCCTCGCCGGAAAACAAGGTACTGCCACCCACGTCCATGGTGACGGGCGTCAACAATCCAGCGGACCGTGTAGGCAGGGTGACCATCAATATCCAAGGGGGCAGGGGGCTCAGCAGTTTGGCACAAGGGCCTGGAAAAAACAGGTTTCAGTTGAGAGATGTGAAAGGTGGGATGAATTCAGACAGTGGAGGGGAGACAGAGACGGAAAGCGGATGAGCCGATGGTCCTTTCCACCTCATAAGGACTGATGAAGCATGGAGACATCTTTCTAGAGATGGCCTTCAAGGCGATATCACGAGTGGAGAGCCATACTTTTTGGCCCGGAGAAAACGTAGGGGTGACCCTCCTACTGCGGTCAGCCCTCCTACGGTTGAGTTCAACCAATCGTCCGAGAGCCGCAGCGGTTCTATTCCAGACGGCCCTACAGCGGCGGATTTAGTGCTGAACAGAGGGAACAGCAATGGCAGCCTCCTCGGCTGGAAAATGGGGAGGCTGATATCCCTGAGAGACCTCAAAAGGGGAGAGTCTGGTGGCAGATGAGACATGGGTGTTGTGAGCATACTCAACCCATGGGAGAAACTGGCTCCAATCGGTAGGGTTGAAAGATGACAGACCTCTGAGGCTGGCCTCCAACTCCTGGTTAATGTGCTCGACTTGAGCGTTAGACTGGGGATTATAGCCAGAAGTGAGTGAGACTTTGTCCCCCCGAGGGCCGAACAAAAACCCTTCAAAACCTGAGAGATGAACTGGGGACCTGTATCTGAGAGGATGTCTTGGGGAATCCCATGAAGGTGGAAAATGTGCTTAACAAGGAGTTGGGCTGTTTGTAGAGCTGTGGGAAGTTGCCTCAGCCAAACGAGGTGGCAGGCCTTAGAGAAACAGTCGATAATGTTGAGAATGGTGGTCATACCTTTAGAGGTGGATAGTCCAGTGATGAAATCTATCGCAATGTGAGACAAGGGTCTCTTGGGAATGGGCAAAGGCTGAAGTAATCCGGCAGAAAGCTGATGAGACAACATGCCACCAAAAACGTTGATTAATGAGAGCCACAGTTCGACTGATACCTGGATAAGCAGAAAACTTAAAAGTATGGATCCAATTAATAACTCATGCACAAATAGGTGAAGGGACAAAAATTCTGTTAGGTGGACCTGTACCAGGGTCTGGCTCAGACTGCTGAGCCTGCTTAACAAGGTCCTCAATCTCCCATGTGACTTCGGGCGACTGAACAGCTAGGAGGAGTAATGGGAGCAGGAGACTTCTCAGATTCGTCAGGGGCGAACTGTCTAGAGAGAGCACCAGGTTTAATGTTTCCACATCCTTGAAGATAGGAAATGAAGAGGTTGAACTGAGAGAGAAACAGAGACCGGCTAGACTGACAAGGGTTAAGTCTCTTGGCTGACTGAATGGTTCTTGTGGTCTGTCCATACCAAAACAGGGTAAGCCGCTCCCTTTAGCCAGTGTCTCAACTCCTCAAGTGCTAGCTTTATGGCTAAAAGCTCTCGGTCTCCAATGTCATAATTTCTCTCTGCTGGGGAAAGTCTGCAAGAGAAGAAAGCACATGGGTGTAACTTGTTATCAGAGTGTTTGAATGAAGTCAGGGAAAAGATCCAGGGCTCTTTATGGAAACACAATCATATTAAACATTCATTTATTCCTCCTTCAATCCAACTAGGAAGCGACCGGTTGGCAGAAGATGAACAGAACCCAAGATAAATGCTGGGATGTGTTTGAAGACTTTTCCTCTGAACTTTATCTAATCTATTTCATCTTGCAGTCGATGCTGCTTGTGTTGTTCTGGTTCTGGATTGTGTTGCAGCTCTGCTCTTTATCCAAAACAATATTTCCCTGGAGGAGACTAATAAACACACCCTGATCTGGACCTTCACATGTCATTAGAGCATGTTCTGGTTGTGCTTGGTTTACAACTTTAAGTTTAGAATTTTTCTGGTACTTTAGCTTTCAGTAAAATTATTTTTCTACATTTTTAGTCTTTGTTTTTTTCATTATTTTAGTTTTTATCTGCATCTGCTTCAACACACCTTTTATCCTTTTTTCAGATTGAGGAGCTGCAATTTGTCAGAGATCAGCTGTGCTTCATTGGACTTAGCTCTGAAGTCCAACCCTTCCCATCTGACAGAACTGGATCTGAGCAACAACAAAGACCTGAAAGATGGTGGAGTGAAGCAGCTCCGTGGCTTTCTCCAGTCTCCCCTCTGCAAACTACAGACATTGAGGTCAGTCACCATGTTTTAGTTTAGTGCTGATATTTCTGATGGTAAAGTTGTGTTGACTCTAAACTGCAGACATATGGCTGATATTCTACTTATCCACACTGAGTATCTTCAAGCTAAAATCTGATTTATTCTTCACTGCTTCGATCTAGTTTATTTCTTTTTCCAGTTTCCTCCCAAGATGTCTGTCTGTCTGATTACAGCACACTAGTTCCATTTATTAATCCTTGAGGAGAACAGGTGCAGTTTTTTCTAATGTTCTGTCTGTTCTGGTCAGACAAATAATTTCACTACCTAACACTCAAACATCTGGGAGGGATTTACATGAAACTTTAGGAAAACAGGATTCAGACAGTTTGGACCAATTGGAGGGATGATAAATAACCTTCCAATCTAATCCAATCCACTTTATTTATATAGCATGGTTTAAATAAACACAAGGTTTCCAAAGTGCTGCACAAAAAGATAAAATAACTAAAATAAA